CTCTCTGTAAAAAATCAATAAAATATATTAAAAAAAAAAAAAAAGAAAGAAAGAAAGAAACTAAGAAGTCGAATAAATAAAAGGCAGTAAATTATACTCTGCTTTGCCATGGGAAGCTTTAACCAACTTTCTCCAAATCAAATTGATGAATCTCAGCTTTTTTAAACTGAGTATTTGATAAACAGCTATTTAGGCACCATGTCCCCTATCAAGTTATATACATTCATGCATTTATTTAGCTTGCCCATTAAAATTATTTTATAATTTATATTTTAATACATTTTTGGGTTTTGTAAGAATCAAACAGAAGAAAAGGCCAAGTAGAGACTATATTGCAAATTTCTATATATTAGCAGTTAAAGGCATTTCTAATTTATTATTCAGTGTCTCTTAGAAAAGAATGTATAAAAATAATTCTTAGTGTTAATGGCCTAGAAACATGTACATTTCTCAATATAAACTACATATTTCTTTTTGCACATGCATTTCAAATTCTATAAATCACACTATTTCATTATTCCTCTGAAGAGGCAGGATTTATCAGTTGGTAAAATCATCTTCCCTCATTCCAAATTCAATACAGCATTTCATATAGCTTTTATTTTCATGATGAATTATTATGTACAATCATTTAATGTAAGCTGCCTGAAATTCTCTTTTTGGAAAAAAAAAAAAAAAGTAAATTAACATTAGTAATCCTTTAGAAGAAATAAGATTTTTCAATTTTATTTGAACATAGCACAAATGACAAAATAAAGGAATAAAATATATTTAAATAACTGCCTTATAAATGAATAGGATGCAATAATATTTTTGTCTCTTTTTTAGTTTAGATCAAAATCAATATATAGCAACGCTTGCTATGGTGATCAGTCAAAATTGGCTTGATGCAAACCATTCAACTCAACAATCTGAAGTTTGCACAACAGAAAATCAAATGTTGCTCATATCTCTTCAGATTTAAAAGAGCAGGAAGCAATGTTTTTCAGTTGCATTTCAAAATTAATCTTATACACAATTAATGGTATCTTTTTATAAACCTTGAAATAAAACAATTTTTTAAAATTTCATAATTAATACTAAAATCACTATGCATCAAGAAATTTTCTCTCTGCTTTGAATATTTTACCTTAATTTCTTTACCTCCTATAACCTATTTATGACACTTATCCTGCAGGGCTTTTTCAGATTTGTGAGGGATAAAAAAGTAGTAACACGCAAATGAGATCCAGAAAAGCACAGGATTGCTATGAAAACAGCTCATCCATCATCTCTACATTTTGATTCCAGAGACAGCAATGAAAGGTGTTGTTTCCACACCACTCACCCAGCACACTTAAAAAGGTTTGTTCCATCACTTAGACCACTGAAACTGATTGATTAGCTGCTAGAGAAAAATCAATACAAATATGCTAGAAAACACTAGCTTGTAAATTCATTTGGCCTCAACAAAGTCCTGGTCACTGCTTGACATGTTTTTCTAGATATCTAAAATGCAAGCATGTCAAACCTCGGCACTCAGCCCCCAGACACTGCCATGCCCAGGAATTTTTAAAGCCTAAATCTCAGCAGAGGTGAGGAAGGAAGGGAGAAGGTTTCCCAGCAGTCGGCTAAAACAGTGATATACCCAGAAGTCACCTGGTAAATCTTATACTCATATGCAGAACTGTCCACAAAAATGATAAACACACCAAAGAAGGTAAAAACAGTCAAAGAAAATGTCAAGGGGACTAGGTTCAGTGAGAGAAAAAGCAAAAAAGCTGGAAAATCAAACATACACACAAACACATATGTAAACAAAAATTTCTATTTCAAAACATAAATGATTGTGACTTCAATGCTATGCATTCAAAAATTTTGACACCTGAATGTATATTTTTAATGCTCTGGAAACCCACTTTACATTCAGAATGATTTCACAAATCTCAATGCTCCCTTACCTTTGGGTTAGCTCTCAGTCTCTTCAAATTCATTAGACCACTAAGAAATACATTTTATGAATATAAAATGTTTCATAAAGAAATTGTAATCTCACTGCATCATGACAGGCAACCTCGGTTCTAACCCCCACTCCACAATTTGTTCAGAGTTTTTAAAAAACACTTTGTATTTCTACAGTCATTAAAAATTTTAATTTAAAGAAAGAAAGCAAGTGTAATTTTCAGGATGGGAAATTTAATTTCCACTTACTTTAAACATAGTGCTAAAATTTAGTGGCAGCATACTTAAATTTTATATTTAACATAGTCTTTCAATGAGTAATATTTATTCTTCTTTATTCATTATAGGACAGTTAATTTCATAATGACATAATGAAGAATTTATGGGGTTGTGGTTCAGAAAATATTCCTAACACCTAAGTTATGAGAGAAACTAAATATGCAACACTATGAAACTAAGAAAATGGGCTATTTCTTCTCTTTACCTTCACAATTATTCTTCACAATTTTAAAGTCCCAATATAGAATTCCAAAAGACAATTAAAATCCCACTATCCTTTGCAGAAAACAAAAGATAATAAACTAACTCAATGTCTTTAAAATATGAGCTACAGACTGCTATTTACTGTAGTAGAAAGGGATTACAAGGCCATTCTTAGCATGAATTTATTTTTCTAAAATTAAGAAAATGAAAGATAATTGTCAAACTAAATAATTTCTAACTATAGACACATTTTTCAGAGAACATATTTTGAAAATCTGTCATTTGATTCTAGTCATTAATGTATGCTGTGGATGTTCTAATATTCTCACTCAAAATTAAGACTTCTCTTTCTAAATCTTAAATTCCTTCAGTTTAAATGTCTAAGGACACAGCAATTACTTCACATAAGTTATCTCAAATGACACCAAACATCATAGTAATAAGACGACCATGGCTCGGAGAGGTCATGTACTAGTAGAGATCATGTGGCTAGTAAGCAGCACACCACTGTTTCAAATTCTAACTCTCTTAAGCACAGAGCATCAAATACTTGATAACTTAAAATCTTCCTAAATACAATGGCTTATCTAGAAAGCTATGACCTCAATATTTTAGTAACAGCACCATATATCAAGCAAATGAGCTCACCAGTCCAAAAACTAGCATTCAGTTTCAATGCTATTTTACAAATAACAAGACAACAGAAAAACCTTACATTGCAAACATTCTATGATTGCAAACAGAAAGGCACATACATATCTATTGATGGTGATTATGAAAGTAATACTAAATAAATATTTTCTAATACTTGCTCTAAAAACAGCCACTAAATCACTCTCACTTCTGAGATATAGTCTTTGAACCACTCATCTTAATTAGCCCAGCTCATCTGGATGTCAATGCTAACTGCCAATAAAAGCCTGACAAAACTAACACACTGTGTCTCTACTGCTCAGAGGACATTTCTAAAGATGCCAGAGAGCTAAGCTTGTTGGATATGTTCAGAGTATTTCTATAAGCATTTTATAAATACTATGTTCACTCCTCCCCCCACCAAGTCAGATATAATACATAAATGTGCCCATACTAAGTCATGAAGCAATCATATCAAAGCATTAGTACAGGTTATAGAAGAGGATAGATATGATGGAGCCCAGAGAATAGTTTCACTTCCTACATGGTGATTTAACTGTTTTATATTTTGCAAACAAATTTTCAAAGTAAAATGAGAAGATTTTTAAGTTATATGTAGTTGAACTTAGAAATGCATAATGTAGAAAAAGTGCTAATTTGCATGCCTTCCAATTTTAGTGTTTGATGGATATATAATATAATTTTAATATCTCCATTAACCAACAGATACATAAAAAAACAAATACCATGTAAGAATGCCAGAAAAGGCATCATTTTTCAAGTATATTAGGTTTCTGTGCAAATGTTTGCCATTTTTGAAAAATCCTTAGGGTAGTTGTGTTACAAAGACAATTGCCCAGACATTTTCTTAGATGAGATATCTAGTCTCACCCTAAAACAGAACACAGGCAACAATCAGTGTGTTGCCTTTCATTTCTTGTTTAATGGAAATAGAAAAGTGGACTGAACTAAGAATATAATAAGAGAAAAACAATTATTGAGAAGTGTTAACAAATCAACAAAGGTTATATTTCTCTCTGTTTTTAAGAGCATTCCAAATTCATGTTGATAAAAGCTTTACATAGACTAAAGAAATGTATTTGGAACTCATATTTGCTAGATTCAGGGTGTGAAATACTGAACATAGCACTCAAAGTTACTCCCTCAAAGAAAAGCACATTGCCAATAACTATTAACCCACATGATTATGAGACCATGCATTATGTCATGTTGGGTGTAAAAGCACACTGATGTTATATACACATATCATAAACAAAGACAAAGGGGAAGTTTAATGGTTTAAGCAGTTATGTGTCAAACAACACAACTGTGACTCATGTAAAAGATAAGTCTTACTTTGTACAGAGAAATACCTAGACAATCACATTTTCCAGCAGGTGATGAATCAGAAGTAGCTGGCCACCAACACAGAGAATTGTTCTCTGTAGGGCTCCTTACCAGTACCACTCCTTATGGCCCAATAGTCCTGTGAATAAGGAAGGCTATCTTTATTGGATGATAGTAAAGTCTACCTTCTCCTTCCAAGACTCTGGGGAAACTTTATTAGCTCAATTTTCTAATGGTCCAGAAATGACCAAAGAAACGAGTAGAAATCTTAAAACGTGTATCACTCAGTTCACAAAGCCTTAACACACATCGAAAGCTCATGGATTTCATTTTTATTTTTATTTTTTGTCTTTTCCATAAAATCTACAATAGGTGATAAAATTCAAATTATGTCACTTACCTTAGAATCATAAAAAAAAACGAAGGAATGACTAGTAATGTGAATATTATAACTTGATTGAATCTATCAGGTAAGCTGAAATATTTGTAAACTCTTCAGAAAGCTAAAAATATAATGTATCTAAGTAAAACAAATTAGAAGACTACTACAATTTATTGAGAAGACTAAACTTGTACATAATTATAGACATTCTTACCTTGAAAAGACTGTTTGGCTCTGTCTACTAGTTCATCGATTGGATAACTGGCCAAGTTTCCTCTGGCGTGTTTGGTTTTGCAGTAGGTACAGGCATTGAGACACCTGTACAAATGACAGCAATAAGTAAAGCTGAAATTTTAAAGACAGTGCACACTTAACATAAAGAAAACACACCAAAGTGCTATTTTAGTAACATTTGCAATTTATATAAGAGAAACAAATATCTACCATACTTCATATTTATGTTATTTCTACCAGGCACAGATATTTCCAATTATGTTTCAACCATTCATTGTACTGCCTACCCGGCATGGTTCGGTGGTTGACCATTGACCTATGAACAAGAGGTGATGGTTCAATTCCTGGACTGTGAACTTGACCTCCAGTGTAGAGCGTGCAGGAGGCAGCTGATGATTCTCTCTCATCACTGATGTTTCTATTTATCTCTCCCTCTCCCTGTCTGAAATCAATTAAAAAAATTAAGAATAACTGTACAAATCACATAATATTACCTTCAAATACAGATATCCATGTGGAACAAAGTTTACAATGATTACTCAAAAGAAATTCAAGATCCACAGTTTGTCAACAACTGACATTTCTTTGACTATTGTAACACAAAAATTTTAATATTCCCTAAATATGCCATATTAATTGGAAATGAAATAGCATATGCATTTAACTTTTAACTGACATAATAATGAAGACAACACAGCATTTTCATAAATAATACATTTTTAATATTTTCATATATTTTTCACTGTTTGAAATCAGAAAGAAATATTTAAACATGTCCAATGTTTATTTTTCTCACTTTGAAATTTTAAAGCATTTGCAAAATGATCTTTTAAAACTTTGTTATTTATTACAGCAATTATTTGTCATGTCTAAAAACTATTGAAAAATACTTCCAGTTTTTAATTTTTCAAAACTAATGTCATCATTCTACTTTTATTTAATTTTCAATTAATTAATATTATCATCCTAAAGCAACTGAATCACTGAAGAGATTTGTGCGGCTTTTTGTTCTATGTTGAACCACTTTTTTTTAATCCTCATCAAAGGATATGTTTTTATTTAATTGAGGGGCGGGGGAGAAGATAGAAAAAGACAGAGGAATATCAATATGAGAGAGAAACTTCAATTAATTGCCTCCCATATTACCCTGACTTGAGATCAAACCTGAAACCTTTTTTATATATGGGATGATGCTCCAACCAACTAACCCATTGGACTAGAACTTGAGCTTTATCTTTTTACATAGGTCTATCTTCTATCCTATATAATAAAAGCCTAACATGCTAAGTGTCTGGTAGCCACATTGTCCGTTCAACCAATCAAAGCTTAATATGCTAATGATATGCTAAGACTACTCAACCACTCGCTATGATGTGCACTGACCACCAGGGGGCAGACAGTCGACCAGTTGCTATGATATGCACTGACCACCAGGGGGAAGACCAATAAGTTAGCTTGCTGCTGGGGTCCAGGTGATCAGGACTGAGCGAGATGGGCCAAACACACCCTGGAGCCCTCCCATAGTCCCTCCCCGGCTGACCAATCTCCTGAAACCTTCTTCAGCCCCAATCATACATTGGTGAGGTCCCTAGGCCTGGCAAGCACACTCTCACAATTTGGGACCCCTCTCAGGATGTCAGAGAGCCAGTTTCGGCCAGATCCCGCATACCAGGCCAACATACCTGGCAACAATGTACTAGTGAACAAATTTGTGCATTGGGCCTGTGTGTGTGTGTGTGTGTGTGTGTGTGTGTATGGATAATATGCAAAGTGTCCCCTCAGGAGTTCGACCATGAGTACGGGAATTCAATCTCTTGCCATGAGAGGCGCCAATGACTAGGAGGTGGCATGGAAAATGGTGGGTGACCAGCAGTGACAATGGGGCATTGAGGGAGCGAGGGAAGGACGAGGCAGGGAGGTGGGGGAAACCGTGCTGTGGTGGAGTGCAGGTGGTGAGGAAGAAAGCCAGGGAGTTGGGAAACCAGATAGGCCCTGATCACCAGCCAGGCATAGGGACTCTACCCATGCACAAATTTTGTGCTCTGGACCTCTAGTTTTATTATAAGTGTTTCTTTTTCTTATAAAAGAAAAACTTATTTAAATTATAATTTTAAATTACAAGAGTAAAACCAAACTTTTAGTTTTTAAAATACTAAATCAAAAGACTATATGTTCACTGTAGCATTATTTGCATTAGTCAAAATATGGAAATAACCTAAGTGTCCATAGATGGATATATGGATAAAAAAAAATGTGGTGTATTTATATATACAATGTAATATTATTGAACCATAAAAAATAAGGAAATCCTACCATTTGTGACAACATGGAAGGACTTCAAGAACATTATGATTAGTGAAGTAATTCATATAGACAAAGATAAATATTACATAATCTTTCTTATATGTGAAATTTTTAAAACCTCATAGAAATAGAGAACAGATTAGTGGAAACCAGATAGCAAAATTTGTGGGGTTGGGCAAATGGGTATAGTCGGTCTAACAGTACAAATTTCCACTTACAAGATAAATAAGTTCTGGGGATGTAACCTATAGTATGGTAACTATGATTATCAATACCATATTATATTTGAAAGGTGCTAAAAGATCTTAAAATATCTTGTCATAACGGAAAAAAAATATAAGTATATAGGGTAATAGATGTTAATTAGACTTATTGTGGTAAACATTGCACAACATATACATATCTCAAATCATAATTTTGTTCATCTTAAACTTATACAATGTTATATGTCAACTATATCTCTGTAGAACTAGGGGTGGGAGTGAAAGTAGCTTGCTCAAGGCCTATAACTCAAATCTCAAGTGAAATTCAAATCTGAACCTATCAAATTTCAAATTCCATTCTGTTTTCATACTAAGCTGCCTCCCCAAAATTAATGTGTATCAAACATCCTATCTACTTACAAATGTAGATAAGATATAACCATAAGATAAGGAAGCGTTTGACATAATATATAATGTAACACAGCATATTTATTCAAAGATATGGCCAGTACTTATCATTCTATGTATAAAGCTATTTGTTTAAAGCATGTATTTCTCTCTTTTGTTCTTTGGAAATTTAAGACTAGGCTTCTTGTCTATCTGCTGGCCCAAACCAGTTATTCCAACCTTGCTATTTACAAGTTCTGGTTTTCATCCTCCTGCTGGCTCTTTGGTAAATTATATCACCTTGTTTGGCTTGCCATTCAAAATTCTATCCCTCAGGTTCTCAAAGCTGAGTACTCTTTCTGCCCTTCTCATCTCATGTGGCTCCGTGATCTACTACATGCAGACCCCACCATTCATTCACCTGTGATTCCCCATTGTGATTCGCATTCATCCAGGGAATCTCTTGATACTATGTACTTAGCTATGTCTCCTAATGGAGAGCTCCATAAGTTAGGTGGACAATAGAAACCACTCCCATTCTGACTTGGGCTATGTTTTAAACATTACTGTCTTAGAAGACATCAGCCTGGAGAAGGGGAAAGAAATAGAAAGAGAAGGGAAGCAAAGTGTAACATAAATGAATTAACACATGCAAAGCACTTAGAATATAGTCTGCACCTAGTAAGTGATCAATAGATGCTGTCCAATAGTTGGTTAATGTGACTGTTCAAAACAATTGTGTAAGGAAATAATTATACAGTATCATGTTCCAGGTGTACTTAACTTTACAAAACAGATGTGTTACTGATGGTTTGGCTGAAATCAACTGTGGAAAACAAATCATATTTTCCTACTGGCTCGCTTAATAAAAGTGGAAATATATCCCCCATGGAAAATCACTCATGAAAATGTACTAAAAAGTTTAAATAAAACAAAGTGATACTCAGAAACATTTATAATAATGAAAATAAATCACTAAGTATAAATATTACATTGAGAATTCAAAATATTCTTTACTACACTGTTCCCTTGTGGTTAATTAGGGTTGTTGATGTGATATGTTTTTGAAGTTCTAAACTATTGTATAAAATTAGTTCATCTTTACTTGCAGTTATCAAAATATTTTTATTATTTCAATAAAGTAAAAATTTCTAAAAAGTAAGATTCTTTATGTTAAAATAGCATAACCAAGCATTGAATCTGCTATGTCTTACGTTTAAAAAGGAAAGAGATTTGTTGTAATCCAAAGTTATATGCAGTACAAAATCAGAAAAGAATAAGGCTTTTTTATGCTATTTAGTTTTAAATTTTTCTCAATAATTAAAAATAATGATGACCAATCATTTAAACTTGACAAGCCTTCACTAAAATAAAGAGATTCACCACAGAAACCACCACAGAGAGTTTCAGTTATCTGTAAACAATTAAATAATTGTCTATGAGTAACACTGAGCCAGTTTCTTCAACCGTCAGAAAACAAAAGATCTTTGAAGGTACACTGTTGAAAGCCAAAATCAAAAAAGAGAATGACTGTTGAACTGCAAGGAAGATGCAAAACCCTGAACTACTTTAGAGTGCTCTGACGGAAGAATAAAGCCAGTGCACTACTCTAATCTTTGCACTGGTGATTATATGGCCACGGGCCAAGAAATAACTGAAAACCTCAAAAGCAGAGGCAGATTAGGCATTCGATTTAGAAATTTAACTCTGGAACCTTAAAAAGAATCTGTGGTAGAATATGTTTAAATTACAGAAACTAAACAAAATAACAATGAATTTTCACAAATTAAAATATTTCAAAGGGTTCAAATGCATAATACATATAAACTTAGTAACTGAACCACAGAAAACAAATGAAAACAAAGTTTTATTGAATTCAGTTGAGTGTTTTGCTTTTAAAGAGCATCTTCAGATATCACAATTTTGGAATAATTTAAAATTCACAATTAAGCTTTTAAAATTCACACATACTGATTTTTTAAAATTTTTTTTTTACAGGATAAAAAAGCCCGGTTACTGTACCAGTGAATTCTACTGAGCATATAGAGAAAAACAAATTCTAAACATTCTCACACTTTTACAAAAGTTGAAGAGGAAGAAATACTTTGTAATGCATTCTAGGAAGGCAGAATTACCTTAATACCAAAGCCAGATAAAGACACTATGAATACTGATTTGAAAATCCTCAAC